AGTTTTTGTGAGCGCACCCATTTTGTTTTTAGCGGGAAGGTCTGAGTTCAGTTGGGGTCGTCACACTAGAAGAGTGTAGACGCGTGTTATTCTTTGTTCCAATAAAATATGCTAAGAGAGCTAAAAGATATTATTGCTTCCGTCAAATTTCTTCCCGAGTTCAACGCTGGTGAAGCTGCAAAGCTCAACACGGTCATTTTTCAAAATAAAAGATCGTTCATACTCAGATAATAAATAAAACGGAAATAAATAATAATTTCTTGTACGGCCCGGTACCAATTGATCCACGGACCGGTACCGGTCCGCGGCCCGGGGGTTGGGGACCACTGGTCTAGACCTTACTTTGTAAAGTGTCCTGAGATGACTTTTGTTGTGATTTGGTGCTATACAAATAAAATTTGATTTGATTTGATATTTCACATGAATTTTTCTGTCTAATTATAAAAATGACAAGCCTGCCCAGCTCCCGTTCAGGCGTGTGTGGCTGCTTGCTCCATACACCTCAATGATCCTGTCCATACGCTCAGGCCGTTATCTGCTCTAATCCTAATCATGGTCTGGCCCAGTGGGACTGTGCTGCAGAAAGGACAAGCTGCAGGTAGAAGTCCCACAGGTGAGTCAGCTGCACAGGTAACTCTACGTTCAGCGCCACCTTGTTTTGAAGGAAGTGAGCTCTCACTTTGTCTCTGTTTTCAGTTACCCAAGAAGAAATACGACTTTGCGCACGGAGTCTAAGCATTTTGTCCACTAACGTGTACAAGCACACACACAATGACATTTCAAGATGGAACACTTTTACTGTGAAAGAAACCCAATTATAGCGTCAACAGTTTCTGAAAATGCACTAAAGAAAACTCCGGTAGAGTAACGCAACTGTCCGAACATAAACGATCTTTGGCGCGCACGTACGCTTCTTCTAGTTTCTGTTGCTATGGAAACGCGAGCATTACAGACTAACTGCACTTTGGATAGTTTATAGAAGTACAAGTGCACAAGAAAACATCGCCTCTATGTCTGGGATTGATAAGCGGGCTCTTCTGGAGCTGAATGCGCGGAGGGAAACATGGTGTCAGGTCGAGACGAACCCCCGGCAGTCCTGGGAGAGGACCGAGAGGAGGCACTACCGGAGTCACCTCCGGACCAGCTCGGCCGTCCTCACCGCTCTGACCGCCGGACCGCAGCGCAGGGCGGCGCGCACCGAGCGACCGCCCCCCACCAAGCTCCCGGAGAGGAGGCACTTTGAAGAGGGATGTAAGACAGTCTGTTACTGTAACTGGGCAGTCGTTTCTGCAGCAACAAATATCTTTAAAACAGTCCATGCAACTGAACACCCCAAAATAATACTGCAACTTTCCAATCTGTGAAAAGTTCCAACACTATGATGCACTGGAAAACAGCCAGCAGTAATGTAGGACGCATGTGACGTTACTTTATTGGTTTAAACAGGGTGCACTTAAATTATTTTTTGTCTTGGTCAGAATCTATTAAAACTGTTAAACAACTACGTGACTTCTGTGGTTTCTTCTCTTTCAGATCAATCCCACCTGGTGTAGATGGCTGCAGCCTGACAAGACCTCACAAGCTCATACAACACACCTGTAGGCTACACGTGGCGCCCTTCAACATTCTCAGTATATTCCCATAAACAGGGTGCAACAAAAATACAATGTAATACAATATCCAAAATTAAATTAACCACACAACAGGTCTTTTAAATGCTAATCTTTACCTTGAGGGTTTGTGTTGACTGTGTCTAAAAATCAACCAGTAGATGTGTTACTTGAGAAAGCTTAATAGATACCAGCCTGACTGCCAAAACTTTGGTGCAGAGTGAAACATTGTCAGGATGAACCTTAATGATGGGATTTGCTGACATCTAAATGCTAATATGGCAGACATCTGAACTGAGGCGTGTTTATTTTAAACAAATAAAGCTGATGAGGTATCACATCAAATAACGTGCTGCTGTATTGTTTTCAGTGTAATACAGGACACAGATGATTTACACATTACTGTTTTCAGTTTTAATTTTAGATCTTACACACTGCCCCGACTTTTTCTGATTTGAGGTCGTAATGCTGCTAAACATTAGCAATACTGTAGCATGTGAAAGTTAATACCAAGTTCAAAACACAACAGAGCAGCTGAGCACAGAGGCTGATAAGCTGCATCTTCGAACACAAGATACATTCTTTATGATTTAGGTGTCATTTGGCATGTGCATGTTAGTGCCGGTCAGCTTTGGGAAAAAGTCTGTATGCATTCTGTGTAGTGACAAGCTGAGCAGTTTGTGGCGACAGACCTTTGATGTCAGTGATGTACCGGCAGGACTGAACGATGTTACTGGGCTCATTCCTCACCTGAAAGAGAAGAAACATCTGCAGCAGCTGCACTTGGGTGTCTAAATCTGATGATTTTTAGTGATGTGAAACCTACGTGCTTGTCGAGCCCCAGGACAGGAGAGTCGGTTTCCTGACAGATGTGCTCCAGTGGGATCTGCCGGATCAGTCTGACTCTCTGTATGGCAGATCAAAATGAACAGCGACACTCTGTTTTAAGAGAAAATCTAGATGTTTTTGAAAACAGGAAACAGAGACCATCCACTGTTTTTTCCTTTTCGGCTTTACACCTCTGAATTCTACAGATGCTCAAGTATTTTAGAGATTAGTGGGAAGCCTGTATGAGAGCAGTCTGTTGTTGTTAGTTAACGATATTAACACCAGAGTTAATCCTGGTTCTGTTGCCACAGTTTGAACCAACAGATTATTCATTTGAGCTGATGAACCATGAAACCCTAAGAAGGTCAGAGTTAACCAAGGCCAAAAATTATTTTATAATAAATTACCTTCATATTTATCCTTATTTCTACATCATATCTTAAGATTTCTGTTGTGACAGGTCAGTCATATGAATTGCATGTGAATTCTAAGCATTTCAGTATTGGCTTCACAAAAAATAAATAACTACCTCAAATCCACCAGAGGTCTCATTCACTGCAGCTTTCACCAACTGTTTTCTCACACAGCACACCACTGGATAGCCCAGATACAGTTACGCTCCTCACCGTCTCTAAATGGATAAAGGAAAACAACCACAAGGTGAAGGTGGTGCAGGCTGTGTCAGTACCTGAGGCTTCACGCTGTGCTGCTCAGATTCCCCGCCGCCCTGCTACAGATAGATGCCAAAACACAGAGCCACCAAATCTGGAATCACTGGGATACAGTAAGTCAACAGATATGTTCAGAATAATAAACCCAGAGCTGTAATACTGGGACCTCCTGAATGGGATAATGTATACATCATTATTATTTACAGAGAATTCTTCTGTAACTGCAACATGAGACTTTACCCCAGCCTACACACACACACACACACACACACACACACAAAGACGCACATGAATAGCTCTTTTCCCCTTCTCCTTTGGATGATCAGCCTGGCTTCACAGTCATCAAGATACCCTAATGTTATCCCCTTGTTATATTAATGTTATTAATGTGTGTTTTGTTTTTTTTCCCAGGTAGGTCCACTGAGAGGCCACCTCTCTTTTGCAGGGATGCCCTGTTCACATTCAGTTATACATTCACACCTGGAAGCAGCCCAATACAAATACAGGGGCACCGCAGTGCTGTTACTGAGGGTGAGGCAAACTCTGCTTTGTAACCTCTCCAACCCAGATTTAATCATTCCGGTCCAGGAACCGACAACCCCTCGGTCACAAGCTCACTTCTCTAACCTTCAGGCCATCACTGTTGATTTCAGACATATGGATCAATCCTACAACAAAGCCTGTATATAAGTATGAAATTTAGCCAGGCAGTAGCACCAAAGTTCAGCTCCCTGTAAAAATGACCCTAGTCTGGTCATCTTGTTCATAATTTGCTCTTTGTGATGAATTTCTGATGCTCTGAACTGATATCTGCCCTCTGTGCTCCTCTGGATCAGGTCCTCCAGAGCCTAGAAAGGAAAAATAAGTTTCTTGATTTGATTGAATAGTGGTAAGGAATGTAAACAAAAGTAAATATATAAGAAAATCAGTAGCTAATAAGACTAATAACACTGGATGTTAGAAAGGTGTGACAAAACATGTATAATCTAAAATGCGCATTTGATGGCCTACCTCTTCAAAGTCACGGGCTGATATATGACAGTGACAGTCAACAAAGCCAGACTCCATTGAAAATCAAAAGCATAAGGGTTAAGAGTGCATAAAACAGTGAAAACTACGAACTTTGGCAGTGTCGTGTGCCAAAACGTAGCTAACAACTATCCGGAACGGTGCTAACGCGGCGCTAGGATGTTGTTCCCTCGGGGACAATCTTAACAGCCGGACTAGAAAGTGACTACTTCAATTCCGGTTTGCGTCAAAAGTATAAACAAAATTGGCGGTAAAGATGGAGTCAGAAAAGAGTAAAACTTCGCTGTCTGCTGAAACAAATGAGGAATACAGAGTTCAGGTAACTTCGAAAAAAGAAGTTATTGAACAGATCAATAAATATAAAGAGGTTTTAAAGACAGCGCTGGATGGACAGCCAAACATGGCGGAGGAGACGAAGCAAGTTTTACTACAGGAGCTGCTGGCGGTGGGTTGGACTGCACTGTTGACATAATGTTACTGACTCTAAATCAGGATAGTTTAGGGATTACCAAACTGTTCTTGTCAAGTTTCAAAAGAGCGTTGTTTTACTAACAAGTTTCTTACCAAGTGCACAGAAAGCTGCGTGTCTGTCTTAGAGAGTTTCACACCAAATCACATTCTTAAAATCTTGCATTTAACGTTATTGTTAGCTTTGCACTGTTAATTTCGTCTTAAGCGGTAGTACACTGAATACTTCTGGTTTATGAACTTGTTGCATATAGCACTTGCATTATTTATGATACTTTATGACATCTTTGAGCTTTATTATTGATGTGTTTTCTGTGAACTGCCGATGGTTGTGCTGTTCATCACATTTGTATTCGGAAGTTAAATGGATTTGTATCTGTGCAGAACTTTGAGGCAGCAGTTCAGGACAACGTGCTGGTGGATGGAAAGCCGTGGGAGGAGGCATCGGACCCTGAAGGTGACTCTCCCTCTCCACACTCTGCACACAGTTTTTTAAGGATTGCTTTATCAACGTAACCGGTAAACACAGTTACCCAGAATTCAAAGAGCATTGTGTAATTAACCGCAGAACCTGTTCCTTTTGTCCCTCAACGCTAACACACAATAGAGAATGAGCCTCCCGATCTGGACGTCCTGCTGGATGACACCATTGTGGAGACCACCAGGAGGCGCTGTGCATACCCCAGAAAGATCCTGCCTCATGTGGTCCACTCCCTCAAAGCTGAACGTAAACTTATGGTGGGTGCCACAGTTATTCTTTTGTTTTTTGGAGTAATGCGAGTGACCGGTGTTGGAACAGGCAGTAGACCACTGCACAGAACATACACATACAGTAGGGGTTAAAAACCACATTCATTCCACATTTTGATGTCTGCTCTCACAAATCAGTTTTGGCATCAACTGAAAACATTATGACTTACTGTATATTACCAATGTGAAATGAAGTCATACATTTTTGAGAGATTCAACTTAT